GCTTTGGGACACGGGGCCTGCTTTTGAAAACAAACAGTCTGGAGTTTTTGGAGATGTAAATTCAGGATTGCTTCTGGAAACCATATGGGTAACGGGCCGGCTCCCCCAGTTGTGTGGTGGCTTTCCACGGGGGTGGGGGCCCTAACTTGGTGGGCAGGGGGGCGTCCGGAGGGGATTGAAAACCAAGAGAGGGTGACCTGCAGCCTGAGTTGTGGGAGACTGTGGCTGAGCCGGGTGCGGCAGCGCAGCAGAAGGGGCCACATTGGCTTCTTCCTGGGGAAGCAAGTGGGAGTGCCCTTTTTAAGGCGGGGGATGGGCTGACACAGGTCTGATGGGCTCTGACAGCAATCGGCAGGACAAGATGGCGCGCAGAAAATTCCGGAGCGTGGTTGTGGTGCCTCCATTCTCCGATTGTCTACAGACGGTGATTTGGTTCAAAGAGCCTTAGTTTCCCCTCTTAGGGGCCCCCCGTCTGGTTACCTTAAATCATGGGAATTTACTGCAAGGACATTTCTGAAAATGGGGAGGCCACCAGGTCCGGGGGTTCTGCAAACAGTGAGTGCAGGTTGGCTTGTAGAGCCCCAGACAGGATCCTGGGACTCCGGCCACGCCCTGAGCTCTGGCCCATGCTCTCCACCTGCTTACTCATGGCTTCTGCTTCCCCGTGGCTCCCCTCCTCCTGGCTTCCAGCTTCTAGTTACACCATCGGCTGTCTTTTCCTCTCCCATTCCAACCTGCCAAGAGGCTGCCATGAGACGTCTTGGCCACCGCGGCCCACGCTAGTAGCCACTTTCATGCTAGGCCACCTCTTGAGACGTTGGCTGGCCTTGACCAGGATGATCACCCCTGGTCCGGGTGGCTGCAGCCAGCGGGGAGCAGGCTGGCCAGGGGCAGACCCCTTTCCCGTGTGGAAGGCACTGGTTATGGTGCTGCCCCGACAACGTGTGTGGCAGGGAGGGAATGCTAAATAAGGGACCAGCAGGTCTGGTAAGGCTTGGCCTGAACTTGGGTGCCAGGAGTCAAAAGTATGAAGCGCTCCGAGGGTGCTTTGAAAAGATTCCAGAGGCCCTGACAAGAGTATCTGGGGAGACAAGAGCTGATCAGCCAATAGCAGGACTGGAAGATGCTGCCTCCTCCCCGTATTCTCCCTCTTTCTTTTCCTTTTTGTGGTCTCGTAAGTGGGAACAAGAAAAGGAGACTGAAAAAGTTAGCAGAGTTCTTTCTGGCTACAGGAGATGGTGCATAGATTGCTGTGGAAAACGGGGTGCTCTTAATTCATGCTGTGGCTTATCCAAATCGTTTTCCTTCTACGGCTAGGCTCAGCCTTTCTAAATTTGGAAGTGGTGTCTGGAGCATAGTACACGCTCCAAAGTTTTATCAGCGAATGAATGAATGAATGAATGGATGAATGGATGAATGGATGGAAGGCCTAGATGTGACTCTCGGCTTTGCCACTTGCAAGCTGTGTGACATTGGGACAAGTTTTTAACTTCTCTGCGCCTCTCTTTTCTCAGTAATGAGCTTTGCAGTATCCCCACTCCACCTCAAAGCTGTCTGGGCACGTACCGTCGACTGTTTCCTAGGCCAGAGCCAGGGGCAGTGTGCTCCTCTTGAGAGCTGTGCTTAGCAGGCTGACTCAGCGGGGTGGGGGTGGGGGGGTGGGTCAGAGGGGCTCATGCGCCGTCAGTGCCCCTGAGTGCACAGGAGTGTGGAAACGTGACTGTGGATGTGCAGGGCAGGCCCACACCCTCGCCGCAGGTCTTGTCTCCACCACTCATGGGGAAGGGAGGCTACAGTGCCGAGACAGATGCACCAGTCACAACCAGGGCTAGGCTTGAGTCTGGCAGGTGTGTGTGTGTGTGTGTGTATTGGCCATGTGTAGGAGACCAGGATTTGGCGAACAGCTGGAAGATGGCAGGTTCCGGAATTAAAGCAACACCAGCATTGCCAACGTGTGCACAGGGTACATGAAGGCGCAGAGCCAAATGAGCTGCTGTGTCAGCTTAGGGGGGAGGGGGGACAAAAGCCAAGAGCCACAAGCCAGCAGGGCCCAAGAGCAGGCATGCCCAGGGCCGGAGGGGAAGCTGGGGGGTCAGGGTGGGGGTCTCAGGGCAGGGTGGTCTCTGCTTGGAGGCCAGGAGCGTCGCCTTGGTGGTCTGAACCCCACCGGTCTTACAGCAGCAGCTCTGGAGCCCAGTGTGTGCCGGTTCGCTGCCGCACGGGCTGGGCTGGTCTTGAGTGTGTGATGCTGTGTGGATGGGGGCGGGGGGTGAAAGGGACAGGAGAAAAGTGGTGCGCTCTGAGAGAGGCTCCAGCCAGAGGCTCCCCTGCGTACGTCCCACAGCAGTTAACAGTCTCCAGCAGGCCAGTCCCCCCACCCTCTTCCTCCTCATAGCTACAGTTGCTCCACCTCTTACAGTGTGTGTGTCGGGGTCTCCTCTACCCCAGAGTCCTGTGCTTGCAATTCTCTGTCTGTTACCTCGAGACCTTGTCCAATGCCAACGACTTGGGGTTTCTGAAATTTCCCCCCGGGGACTCCCAGGAAGGCCCCCCGTATCTTCATTTGCTTCTCTGCGACCCTTTGCCTCCAGCACGGCTGCGACGCCTCAGCTCTTTGACCTCACTGTCTACCCGTTTCAACCGTCCCAGAAGAACAGCCTGCAGCGGAGCCCCGCGGGGCGCCTCCTTGGCTCCCCCTTGGGGTGGCCGAGAGCTGCCGGAGATGACCCAAGCCTGCAGACCGCGGCCAGCACAAGACGGCCCTGGCATCCTTCCCCCACCCCCGCCGGGCGCCTGGCCAGCTGTGTGCCCCTGCTTCAGTAAGGCCTAGCCAGAGCCAGTAACTGTATTTTTTTCCCACTAGTTAGTCTCTCCCTGACCCCAGTTCCCGGCAGTCTTATCCTCTACTCCACGGTAAAAAGTAAAGCTCACGGCGTGGGAGGGGCTTTGCCATCTTCTGGAGCCTTCTGCCCACTCTTTCGGGAAGCTTCTCTTCCTGTAACAGTGGCAAGAGCTTGCTCTCTTTGGAGCAACACCAACAGCTCTGATCCCATCCGAGGAAGCCTTCTCCTCACCGCCAGCCCTCTGCCCTTAGCCTGGAAACATGCTCCCGGATCTTTCTGATAGGAATTAGCAGCCCCATTGTTCAACTCTGGGTCCCTAAGAAATCCTGAGCTCATCACTACTTCCCCGTGAAAGTCTAAGTTCATGAAAGGACCGACTGCAGTCACTGTTTCCAGGGCGGCCCTCACCAACTGACTTCACAGCCGCGTTCCCAAGAACACTCCTCCGCGCAGCCCCTGCAGCTGCGACCCCTGCTGCCGACCTCTGACCCCCAGAGCCCAGACGACATGGTTTCTCAGGCTGCCTGGCCCTCGCAGGCTGTTGGTGCCTGCACCCCAAGGTGCCCGCCTGCTTTGACTTTCCCCGTTGATGCTGGGCCGCCTGTCTTCCTTTTGCCTCCTCGCTGGTCTTTCTCGGGCTCCTTCCCAAGGCCCCCTCCCTCTGTCCACCTCCCTTAAAGATTAGCACTTTCCAGAGTTCTGGGGGCTACCCTCTGCAGTTCCCAACTTTTTCCTTGCGGGGACCCAAGATTCAACCCCATGTATGAGACGTTGATGATTCCCAAGTAGAATCCAGAGCCCAGGTGTCTTTGCTGGGGACCACGTCTGTACAGACACCTGTCACCACTAAATTCCTTCCTTCGCCCCCACATCTGACCCTTCTCCTTTATTCCCTGTCTCGTAAATACTGCCTGCAACGCGACGAACGGTCGCGTGAGACTCAACTCGGACCAGTCCTGCTGGATGCCTCCCATGCTGCCGCACCCTCTCGCTGGTACATCGTGTCCGTAGCATGGCAGCCACAAGCGTGCTGGTTCTCCCTTCTTACTATCTGTGAAGTTCATCCTTGTCCTCAGCATTGCTACTCTCCTACTCGAAGCTCCTGCTGTCCTTGCCTTGGCCTGTGGGCTCCGCCCATCCGTTCTCCAACAGCTTGCAGGTGCATGCTCAAAGCACGCCTGTTCACGCAAGCCCCTCCTCTGGCTTAAAACCCTTCGAGGTTTTCCTGATGCCTTCAGGATAAAGTCCAAACTCTTTAGCGGGGTGCCCAACCCTTCGTCACCCCTGATGATTTTGAACACGGAGAGTGGGACTCAGGCAGACCCAGGTGCAAAAGCCGGCAGCGTTTCTTGCTGTGTGACTTTGAGTAAGTTACTTAACCTCTGTGAGCCTCTGTGTTCTTAACTCCAGCGAGGATAATACACGCCTGCCCCACTGGGACAGCAGGAAGGAATGTGGACGCCTCCTTGAAGCTTTTTTTGGATTATCATCTTTCTTAGCAAAGTGCCTTGTGGGTTGTAGGCACACAACAATGGGACCCACTGTTTGTACTCCCAGCCTCTGCCCTCCCTGCCACTTCCTGTCATCTTGTGACGGGGTGCACCATGCTCCAGCCATCTGGGGAGGGGCATGCTTCCCAATCCCGTCATGCCCCATGCTCACCTTAGCGCCTGACTTAATTAATTCCTTACAACTGTTTCAGGTTCCCCTCAGAACCTTCTAGAAGTTTCCCCGAGCGGTCTTCTCAGGGCCACACATCAGGCCCTCTCTTCCTTATCTTGACAGTTCCCTTCTCTCTCACGGGCACCCCCCTGTGCCGGGAGCTTCTTCAAGGGTCAGGATCATGTCTTATTGATCTTTATATCCCTGGCACTCCAGACATGCTGGGATGCCAATGGGGACCTGACGGATGAGCAAAGTTCAAGGTGGAGTTCTGCCCAGGGGTGGCATTCAAACTCTTGCACTCATTGTTTGTTTATTTTTCTGCTCCTCTTGGGAGTGGCTGTTGCTTCCTGAGGGCAGGGGGCCCTGGCAGCATAGTGACCTGTAGAATTTGCAGAAATGGGAAAGCAAAGGTTTCCTTATCTCATCTTATGCAAATAAGTCCCCTGGCCTGGCTCCCGGGGGGCAGGGGGTGGGGTGGGGGTGGGGGGGGTAGCGGGGGTGGTCATACGGGAAGGTAGGGGGATTGGGCCTGGGGAAGCAAAGGGAGTTTGGGATGGCAGGTACCAAAGAAAGTCAGAGAGGAGGTGCCCAGCTTCTTATTCCAGCTGGCATAGAGGACTGTGGACATTTGTCCCCAGGGACTATATCAGGCCACCGCTGACCTTTGCCACCAAACTGGGTTTAGGTTTTTGTTTCTAGATCAGTTTTAGGCAGAAGAGTCTCTGAAAGCCACCCCCTCCCCCAGTAGTTCACCAGTGAGCGTGGCAGAACCCCTGGGGCTGCCTTAGGCCTTCCCAGCTGGGTTGAGCTGGCTTGCTCAGCCCTCTGTCCCGTGGGGTCCCTTACATCCATAGGAGGCTACACCTCCTGAGTGGGTTTAGGAGTCGCTGGGCCTCCATGGCTCTTGGTCCGTTCCAGAAGTGGAGACAGACTGCAAGCACCTGCCAACAGGACCCTTGTCAATGCTCTGCAGGGCCGGGAGCACTGAGCCTGCTCTCGGGCCACAGTAGCAAGGCAAGGCTGCTTCCCAGCAGCTGGGGCCTTGGGGCTGCTGGTTTTTGGAAGAGGAGTGCCAGGGGCCAGGCATACCCAGAACACTCCTGTTTGTTACACTCACTCTCTTCCACCTAGGATGGATGCATGCTTTATGTGTAAGACAAGTGGCTGAAGACAAAGTTTTGTGTCTCGGCTTCTCTTTTTAAGACACCTTTCTCTGTGTCAGAACTGTTCAAGTTGTCCTTCTCACAGTTTGCTAAGAAATAGGGTTGGGCTGGGTGCTCTGTTTTGTCTTTAGGATCTGGGCGTCTTCAGAGAGGGAAGACGCCGTGTGGATAACCGGTCCCAAAGAGGAGGAGCTGAGGATGGCAGCCCTCCCCTCAGTGCGTGCAGATCCAACGTGGTTGCAAGCTTGACCCCCCCCCCCGGCCCCCGCCATCATCACTTCCATTGTGTGCCAGACACCATGACACTGCCTAGAATACGGCATGTGCTTTGCAGCCACACGGGCACCTGGCGCCGTGACGGTCACGGACACCTAGGTGTTGTTATTGGCAGGAGCATAAGCAGTGAACCCAGGAACGTGTCTGCGAGCCAGCCTGCCTTTGTGTGGAAGACCAACAGGTGCTCCTCCCAGGCCCTCTGGGAGTCCTCTCTCCCTCCCCCATGACCGTCTTGGCCAGGAACTGTGTTCAAGGACTGTGTAGGGAGGTCACGAGACAAAGGCGGGGTGGAGTGATCCTTGCAAGAACAGCCTTCCCAAGCAGGACTCTCTGCGAGCTGTCAGCAGACGGCTGCCGTCCCGGTTAGCAGAGACAGGCCCCCCACCCCTGGTAGCCTTTCTTCTTTCTAGCTGCCAAAGCGTCTGCAGTTAGGTCTGGGGGTTCTGGAAGGCGAGCATCGAGTAGGTGGCAAGATTGTGAGCTACACGGGGGCTGGGCTTCTGGTCTGGCCATTTGGTGGGAGTCAGAGGGAGGAGGGCCCGCAAGGCCCAGGTGGTGGAGGAAGCGGGTGGCGTTTTTAGAGAAGCTGCACCCTGCAGGATTTTGCTGGGCAGCTGCGAGCGGAGTGTGATTGACTCTGGCTGAGATGCCATCTTCCTTTAGTCCTTCCGGAAGTGGCGGTGGGGGGAGGGCAGAAGCCACTTAGGACTGTGGGGTCTTCAGGCAGACGGATGCTCTGAAAACTGTGGTTGTGTTTACAAGGCTTCCTATGTACAAAACCGTTTCTGGAAGCCCACTTACAATCTTTGCCTGGAGTAAGGGAAGGCAGTGGGCTCACGAGTTAGAAGAAAGGATTGCGGCATCGCTACTGAGAGGTGTTCGTTCGCCGGTCCACCCATTTTAGCCAGTGCATATAATGACCTTGTGTGTAGTCGGCGCTGGGTGGAAGATGGAGCAGAGGGCACAGCCCCGTCCTCTGTTCAGAAAGCGAGAGGCGCAGCCGGTGTGGAGCAGAGGGAAGGGGGAGGTGGCTTGTTCTCTTTGTTTTGTGGTTCTGTGGTGCCCCATGTTCCTGATTTTTTCTGCAGTGGCGGCTTTTATTTCCTTTAGATTCTGAAATGCTTTACGGACCTCTCCTGAGGGAGGTCTTCCAAAAAGATAACCCTCCTCTGCCTTTGGAAACAGGATCTACAGAACAGAGTCTCGTCTCTTTGTTGTTTTGTTTTGTTTTGGTGTTTGGTCCTATTTCAGCCCTTCCTCGAGTGTTCCCCAAGCTTTTCTAATTGTTGGCACTTTTTTCTTCCATGATACAGGCAGCCGTTTGTCATTGTATCAGTTCCCCCTGCGGCTGTATCCTCACCGGCTGTATCCAGTGAGGATGGAAGACTTCCCCAAGGACCAAGAGAACTGCTTTCTTAATGAGCAAGCTCGGCTTTGTATTCAACTTGAGGTCGATAAGCTTTGGTTTGCTGGCTGAGAGCTGGGCGGGCAGAGTGACAGCTACTCCCCGACCTCTCTGAGGGTGCATCCATTCCTTCCTTAAGCTGTGTTCTGTATATGATCAGAGTTGTTGGACGTAACTTGTGGCGAAGATGGGGTAGTACCCTCCAGGAGGAGGGGTCAGCGTGAGAGGCATTGTCTACACTGTCTACACAGCTGTGAGAGTGTGAAGAAGAAAGAGTTTGAGTGTGGGGAGGCCCCAGGAATGGTTTCATGGAAATGAAGCTTACCTGGATCTTGAGCCCAGGACAGGGCTTGGGGGAGGTGACAGAAATGGGCCGCATGATTGAGAAGTCTTCACGGTCCTTCCTGTTAACTCTACATGAGGTTGTTGCCATAGCATGGCATCCACCCCCGGCCCCTGCAGGGATTGGAGTCCCAGAACCTCGTCTTGGGCTCCTCCACGTCGTGCTGGAAGTGCGGAAGCTTTGGCTGCTGCGGCCTACACGGTGAGGGTGAACCCTCGCTTTCACACGGCAGACCCGGGATGAGGCAGGGTCGCTGAGCTTCCACACGTGCCCCTAGGGCGGAGGAGGAAGGAGAGGGGTCCATCTCCCTCTGGTGGGCACAGAGGCCCATCCTGTTCCCTAGAATCCAGACTTCCCTTGTGCATTCGAAGAGTAACCAAGCCGAATTTGAAATCAAGAAGCACTGGTGGCTGTTAGCTTGTGTGGGCATCTATCATTAGCGAAAAACATTAGAGTCTTGTTTCAACCTTATCAAGTTCCTGGGGAACCTGGAGCAATGGGGGGAGGGGTGGTAAGCAGAGGGCAGGGAGAAGCTACCAGCCTGTGTCCCACCCCACCCTTGGGTGCCAAGTTCTGCATTGACTTGAGGCAGGGCAGCAGGAAGCAGGTTGAAATCCGTCCCTCAGTCGGTGATGAAACCAGTATGTTTCAAATGCCTAAAATTTAAGAAGTTACAGGGCATTATTGGAGCAAATGAGAATTCATTCAACAACCACTTACTGAAGCATACCATGTCTTCGGGTTCCAGATGAAGGATTAAGCAAAACTGGCAATCTCACTCTTCCGTCCCAAATTCCCCAGGAATGACAGAACATAGCGTTTAAAAATATCAGTACTGCTAGAAAACAAAAGATGTGCTGAGCGCATCCAAACTGGGAGGAATCCCTGAAAGATGGGGAGTAGGTGAGACCAGACGCCCCAAATGTTCCCGTGGAAGGATGGCTGAGAGACGAGCTCCAGGCTGCTAAGTGATGGGTGTGGGGCAGAAGGGAGACGAGGGTACGCACAGGGCGAGTGGTGGGCTTTGCGAGGAAGATGAGACCAGCAGATGGATCCCGCCTCAACTCTACATTTGACCCCCTAGAGGCCAGCAGTGGGCAATAGAGAGTGCTTGGATGCTCGGGCCCAGGCCAGCAGCGCTCCAGGCAGCCACAGAGCCCACGAGGAGGATACCCATCTCTGCACTCTCTCCCGGGTCACTCTGCCAGCATCAGGCCCTGCCCTTGCTTTTGTTGGCTAGGCGGAAGTAAAACCTGCCCAGGCTACAGCGCACTCTTTCCCTCGATTGCCACGTTAACAGGAATGTTCTGATGTAAAAGTGGGCCTGCATCCCAGGAGTCACCAAAAGTATGTGGGAAAGCAGTACCGTGAACAATGCATATGGATTTCAGTAAACAAAAACTCACAGCACAGGAGATGTGAATGGCGTGGCAGAGGCAGCCTCTGAAGTAAGGGCATGTACTGAATCCGTAAAGGATCAGCCAGAGGCCCCGGGAACCAAGTTGCTCACGACCACACTTCAAAACCAGCAGATGCGCTCAACTAGCAGAGTGGACATCGCCTACGACTAAGTTAGGGGACTAGGAGTTAGCCCTGAGGGATTCCAAGAGAACCACAAGCTGCTAGATAGAAGGGTCGGGATGGAGCACAGAGCCAGCTGCTTCGGCATCCGTAAGAAGTTTCACAGGGTAGAACGGATGGGCTGGAGAAGAAGAAACTAGGAAAAGTACAAAAACATTTTCCACCAAGTAGAAAAGAAACAGCACAAGATGAAATCCCAAGCCTGAGAAGGGGTGGCCAAGGCGTCACGTAGACTGAGCGATGCCTCACGACACTGAACGCAAGGAAAGCTGCTAAAAGCAAGGAAAGACTTTCAGAGAGAGAGAGAGAGAGAGAGAGAGAAAGAGAGGAAACAAGAGCTCCCACTGGCAATACCGGATGCAAAAAAGTCACTGGAGCTGTACCTTGCACTGCAGACCCAGCAAAGCTATCATCCGAGTGTGTGGGTGAACCTCACGGATGGAGCGTCCCTCCTCTGCTGGTCACCAGAGGCCATTGCTAAGGCAAATCGGAACAGGGGGCAGTCAGGACCCTACTTGCTGCTAACCGCACACACTTCTGCCTTAAAGAGATGCGTCATCAGCCTGAGACAAACAACCAGGCAGAAGTAAGCGCAAGAATGGAAGTCTTTTGCCCTTGAACCGCCCTTGCCGTCCCACGGTGTTTGTTCAAGTGTGGGACGGCCGAGGTGTGTTGGCACCTTTGCTCACTTGGAGAAAAGAGGCATGGCTGCCTGGCTGGGGTGTCACCATCCCATGATGCATTTGGTGTCCCTTCAACCCTCAAGTTTTCTCTTGAGCATTCATTCAGAAGAGACACGGTGGCGGGGGCCATCTCCCACTCCCCAGTCTGATAGTTGGGATTGCAGTAGACACAGCTCAGTGGCTTTGATCACTGGAAGCAGGACAGTGACCCACGTAAAGGGCTTCGAACCATAGGCACCCAGCTGAGCAGAGGGGCCCCTGTCTGGCACTGCTGGGAGCATGGCCCAGTGCCTGGCTCCTGGGGAGGTTGCCAGTCCTGAGGGATGGAGAGAGACCACTCACCAGCAGGCCCTGACAGCCTTGGAGAGGAAAGAAACAAAACTCACTGGAGGCGACACTGGAAGTCCTGGAGTGAATTCGAGAGGTTCTGCCTTGGGAACCAACCCCCTGGGGCAGAGGGTGGGGGGATTCTCCTGGGGCCAGGCCAGGGAAGCAGCAGGTTCCAAGTTGGAGGGGGGGTGGTCCCTGGATCCCTGGCAGAGGCCTCACCACAGAAGAAGGTTGGAAGCTAAAGTCCTTTACATTGCTAAAGCTATTCTCCCCCCTGAAGTCTCTATGCTCTGCCTACTCACGGTTGGGGCCAGCAGGTGGGGTCTCCTCTCTTCCCCAGGCTGGGCCTTTAAATCCCCTGAGTCCTCCACAGCGAGCAGACACTGGGAGTGTCTTCGAGAGCATCAGGAACTTGGCTAATGGGATTTTAGCCCCTTTAGCCTCACCCTAGGCTGTGCGATCGAAAAGGAGACCCTCAAAGACCATTAAGTCCTGTCCTCTGGCCCCAGGCAGGACTGAATTTAAACCAGTTCCTTCAGGTTGCCATCGTCTCTGAAACCAAAACCCCAAAGGAGCAGCGGCGGTAGCATCCCCTGGGAAGGCTCTCCCGGTTGAGTCCTGCAGACCCAACTACAGCTTGGGGGAGAGGCCAGCCTGTGCGTTCTCCTTGCTCCCCACCCCCTTGGGAAATGTACATGACTTCATGCCCTCCTGGCCGGGCACTCAGATCATCTCTGAGCTCTTGAGGGTTTTCGTGTCACAGGTTCGCGTAGGGCTTGACCCTCGGATTTTCAGACAATGCTTCAGACACTGTCAGTCCATTGAAAAGTACCTGAGCAAAACTAGAGGAAAGTCAGGGTGTGGTGGGACGTGTGAGGGAGGTGCTGGGGGAGGACCAGGCCATGGGTGAGGGCTGCCCAGAAGTTTTAGCCCTTGGGTGCCTCCCACCCAGCTCTGGTGCAAGGACAAGGGACCAGCCCCGGGGGCATATTTCTCCACAGGTGCCCAGCGACAGAGACCTCTGCAGGTGGAGCTTGAGTGCAAGCCTTGAGATAAGGCGGTGAGGCTTTGCACTCAAGAATGAGTATTTTTCAAAAGAAAAGCAGCCTTTTGGAGATGAATGGTGGAGTTGAGGGGGCGGGGGTTGGGGGGAAGCATCCTTGAAGGGCCCTAGGGCGTGAAACCTCCCCCATGCTGCTTCCTTGTTTGCCCTTTGCCCCCGCACGCCACAGTGGGCAGTGGGCTCTGCTCCGACCGCCGCTCTCAGGGCTCATCTTAAGAGAGTGCAAGAGCTGAAAGGGACCCACGAATGCAGCCCGAGTTCAGCCTGCCCCAGCTCCTCACAGCGAGAAGAGGAAACGAAACCCAAGGCAGAGACTGACCGGAGCCGCCGCTGCCGGTTCCCAGGTCTCTGCCTTGCTACTCCCCTTGCCCTGGGTCTTCAGCAATTGCTGGCACCACCAGAACTAGAATTTGCTTCTTCTGATTTCAGTCCAGTGGTTTATATTTTTTTCATTCATCTCTCTGCAGCTCCAGGCTTCCTCCGAATCCTACAGGCCAAGGCACAACTTACTGGCAGGCAGAAGCCTTAAACACCAGTGGAACAGTTTTGAAGGGTGAACCTGCACTCCAAAGCCATCTTGTAACGGATGCCTGACCTTCTACCATTAGAGATTCATTCTTTTGTATACCCTGGAGCTTGGGTAGCCTTCCACAGTCATTCATGGAAATGATAGACACCTAGGGGAAAGCCCGCCCCCAACAGGTGACAGCTTACAAAGAAAGCGCAAGGGCTCTTTCTCCGTCTGACGATGATGGTGGCAGCCAGCAGGGGAGGTCAGGAGAGAGAGGTTTAATTGGAAGGTGGCTTTGGGACCCACGCAGCTGTGGACATTGAGTCAAGGCTACTCCCTGCCTGACCCATGCAAAAGGCAGCCCACCCACCAGCCAGCCAGGTGCACTGGTGGGACGTTCCTTCCACAAGGCCCCGTACCAGTGTTTGGAAACTCAGAGGAAAATATGGGACTGCCCACACCTGCGAGTTAGTTCGCCCAGTCTGGTGGTTCCTGGGCAATTAGGTACTGAGGCTTCGGAGGGAGCCAGCCTCTTCCTCTCAGCCCCAAGGCTTCCTGGCTGGCGCTCTGGCTCTGGCTGTCAGAGGGAGAAGCCTGCATTCCATTATGTGCCTGTGAGTGGCAGGCAGAGGTTGAGGCTGGTATGGTGCGCCCTGACACAGGGCTGCGTGCCCTCTCGGAGAAGCGGAAGGGATCCGAGCCAGAAGCTACGTGGCTGCTCGTTGCATGGATTTGATGAGACTCTGATGATACGCGGTAGGTGCTGGAAGCGTATCTGACCCGCTCCCCACCCCGCCACATTCCTGAAACAGCGCCCAGCGTCTTGGGAGACAGCGACCCTGCCATGGGCCCCCACACCCTCACGAGGGGCACCGTGGGTGCGGGCAGCAGCCAGGCTCCTGACAGTGACCTCATCGCTACTGGACACCGACTAAGGGAACCCAAAGGAGATGACGACGATGACTCATTGTGAGTGCATCCTTTAGGGTCCCCATGGAGCCCTTGTGTGTGTGTGGGGGTGGTGATAAAGGATTTTTTGTGCAAGAAAGCTCATGAGGAGGAAGCTTGGGCCACTATTTAGAGTGACACAGCCATAGTGGCTTGGTGATTCTTGGGTTCCTCTTAGATCATTAGAACCCTGCCTGAGATATTGAAAGACAAAAATGGTTCAGGAGCTTGGAGTAACAGAAAAAGGGAGAAAGAGGGGGAGAGAGATAGAGATAGAGATGGAGATAGAGAGAGGAGGAGGGGAGGGGAAGGGGAGGGGGAGAGGGAGAGGGACAAAGGAGAGGGAGAGGGAGAGAGGGGCCAGCGCTGTGGTGTAGTGGGTAGGGCCGCTGCGCCTGCGGTGCCGGCATCCCATGTGGATGCTGGTTTGAGTTCCGGCTACTCCACTGTCTGTTCCTTTCTCTCTGCAAAATCTGGGATAGCAGTAGAAGATGGCCAAGTCCCTGCACCCATGTGGGAGACATGGAAGAAGCTCCTGGCTCCTGGCTTCAGATTGGCACAGCTCCAGCCGTTGTGGCCATCTGGGGAGTGAGCCAGTGGATAGAAGACCTCTCTTTCTGTCTCTCCTTCTCTCTCTGTTTAACTCTGACTTTCAAATGAATAAATAAATCTTAAAGAGAGAGAGAGGGCCGGCGCCACGGCTCAATAGGCTAATCCTCCGCCTGTGGCTGGCACACAGGGTTCTAGTGCCGGTGGGGGTGCCGGATTCTGTCCCGGTTGCCCCTCTTCCAGGACAGCTCTCTGCTGTGGCCCGGGAGTGCAGTGGAGGATGGCCCAAGTGCTTGGGCCCTGCACCCCGTGGGAGACCAGGATAAGTACCTGGCTCCTGCCTTCAGATCATCAGCACGCTGGCCACGGCAGACATTGGAGGGTGAACCAATGGCAAAGGAAGACCTTTCTCTCTGTCTCTCTCTCTCACTGTGCACTCTGCCTGTCAAAAATAAATAAATAAAAATAAAGAGAGAGAGAGAGAGAGAGAGAGAGAGAGATCTTCCAGCTGCTGGTTCACTCTCTAGTTGGCCACAATAGGCTGGGACTGGGTCAGGCTGAAATCATAAGCTTGAAACTTCACCTGCATCTCCCATGTGGGTGCAGGGGCCCAAGCACTTGGGCCATCTTGCACTGCCTTCCCAGGTGCATTAGCAGGGAGCTGGATCAGAAGTGGAGCAGCCAGTGCTCTGTTGTGGGATACTGATATCGCACACAGAGCCAGGGCGCCAGGCTCGCAACTGTTTCCTTAATAACCCAAATACAGGACGGCAAGGTCTGGTCCTAATTCTGTATGGGAAAGGATAGTGGCACCAAAAGCTCCAGGGACCCCATATTCAGACAGGAGAGAAGGAAAGGAGAGGCATTTTAAAAAAACCTGAACCGGCTTGAGATGAAATGAGGAGCTCACGATTTGCTGGGAGCTGTCTAGTCAGAAACCATGACTCGGACTTTGTGGGGCTGGGTTTGTGGGCTCAGAGGCAAAGCCACAGCAATCGAGTTTAACTTAGTCTCAGTAGAGCATGCAGTATCCTGCAGGAGATGATGATAGATTGGTTTAAAACAGAAGAGGGGCAGGCATTGGGTGCAGGGGTTAAGACGCCTCTTGGGACACCAGCATCCCAGATGGCAGAGCCCGGGTTTGACTTGTGGCTCCACCTGCAATGCAGCTTCCTACCAGTGTGCACCCTGGGAGACTCGGACCCCTGCCACCCACATGGGAGACTTGACTTGAACTCCCAGCTCCTGGCTTTAGCCTGGCCCTTCCTCAGGAGTTGTGAGCCTCTGGGGGAGTGCCCCAGTGGACGGAAGACTCCATCTGTACCTGTCTCTCTGCCTTTTGAATAAAGTTTTTTTTTTTTTAAAAGAAAATTTTTAAGAATTAAAAAAGAAGAAAGGGAGGAAATAATAAAAGACCATCTTTGCGTGCTGGAGAAGAGGCATGGTCCATCTGAGGAGACCTCAGAAACATGATGGACAAATGGAGTTAAAAGATATGTTTTAGTGCAAAAAAAATTTCAAATCTGTGCATTGTATTTTCCATAACTCACATTTGCATGAGCGTTTTGAAGCCCCTCCTCCTGTATGCTTGGGTTTCTGATTTTTTTTTTTTTGCACTGAAAGAAACGGATCTTTTCATTTTCCATGAACTTTTTGAAGCCTCCTCTTAGGCAAAGTTGGTGTCACTCTCCTCTTTCTTCCTCCATCACACACTTTCCAAATCGCTGGGTCTTTCCTTCCTGCCTGGGATTAATCAAGCCCATGTTTGCTTAGGATGCATTCAACCTAAGATTTGATGTAGCTGGGTGGCGGATTTGGGCACCAAGCTAGAAACTTTCCAGAAGTTAGGGGAAAATAAAAAAAAAAAGAGCAATGTTTCGGTAAGTGCAGCCCAGAGTGACACAATGGACAGAAATAGCTAAGCAGATGTGACACACAGAGCCGCAGTGAAAACACAGTTTGATGGGTGCCATTTAGATGGAGCTGCCCTGTCTGGAGCCATTGCCGGGTTGACAGCTACGCTGGCCTCCGGGGGTGGGGTGTGCTTTTCGCACTTGCTCATATACCTGGGAGTCTTAACAGCAGACGCAGTTTTGCTGATTTGAGCCTGTCACATCCAGCCACAAGCTGCACGTCCCTGCTCCCGTTTATTGGGGTCTCCATGGGCCTGGTTCTGGGGTAGGCCCTTAACAGCCCTGAACAGGAAGAATCTAGGGCCTCAGAGAAGTTAAGCGAGGAGCCCAAGGTCACAGCGTGTGTTGAACATCAGAATCCAGATTCCACCCAGGTGTGTGCCTGGCCACTGGTAGCGTCAGGGTGACGTGAGTTTAGGTAGGTGTAGTTCATTCCCCTCCTAGGTGTGTGACCCTGTCAAACTCTTAAACTTTTCTGAACCGCTTTTTCCTGACCTATTAAGTGGAGACAACAGTCCCACCAATATCTGGGGTTGGGGCGAGGACTCAGTGGGTCAACACGTGGGTGCCCTTAGCTCAGCACCTGTCCCGTAGTGGGTACTCGGCCTGCAGCCACCCTTCTAGTGACCCCCGGCTCCCTGTCCGTCTGAACCGCAGCCTCAGGTGCTGGCTCGTGGATGGGCCAGTGGGATCGCCACCCCAGGAGAGGGCAGAGCCACTTCTGGGAGCCACAGCTGCACTGCAATTCCATGGATTCCTGGTAAAGCCTCTCTCCTCTTGCTGTGTGGTTTTGCAACATCACCTCGCGGTTAACGGCTTTCCCTGTGAATAAGCTGGACAAACCCCACCTAAGCCTGCTTTATTGAGACTTCAGGTTGGGGCCTGTGCTAAGATGACTGCGACTTTTGCTTCCCAACAGTGACTAAGCCCCAGAGTGGACTACTGCTCCTGGCAAGCCGAGGACCCCGGCTGGCTTCTCCAGCAACCCAGCGTCTGTGGCCATCACTGTGTGCTTGGGGGAAGCACATGAACTTGGACATGCTTTGAAGTCAAGAATCAGTAGACAGGTAGAAATTCTATTTGCACGTTGTCTAGAGGCATAAAATGACTCCAAAAGATTTTTTTTCGGTAATGTGTTGATTTGCATCATTCACTAGGAGCTGGTGGGGTTCTAGTGACGTACAACCTGGTGGCCGTGTATTCGTTGCTTCCACTATTGAGCTCTGTCCCCTACAAGTGATGGGAAGTCCAGTGGTGACTATTTATAATGGCTGCCTGGCTATTGTCTTTGAGACTGCTAGAGTCACATGAACCCTTAAAAAGGGGGGGATTCTGTTTGCTCTGTGGACACCCCAATGCCTCAGGCCTCCTTGTGAGTCCCTGACCTCATGGAGGGTGTGACTCCCACAAGTGGCAGGGGGAAGAGTCCTCTCTAGGCTTCCTCTTGGCCGTGAGAGCTGGATTTTGGCTTGAGCTGCACCCGAGCAACCTTTGTTGTGATGTGGGTGTGGTTAGAATCACAATTCACATGGTGCACAAAAGGACAGGGCTTCTCTCAGACCAGGGGCTCAGAGAGGTGAGGTGACCTCGCCAAGGCCAGCCAGCTCCTTAATATCAGAGCTGGCACTGGGGCCCAGGACTGCTGTCTGCAGTTTCTGTTGCCTGTGCTAGCAAGAGACGTCGGGAGGAAAACTCATTGCATGAGAACACCGTGCTGCTGGCGTGCAGTGGGTTGCCAACACTGGCTGGTTTTATCCTCGCAAACTCCCTGCCTGGCAGTGGTGACCATTTGTACGCAGATGGAGAGCTTCATTTCCTGGTCCGTAGAACCATAAGCTCTTTCTCTCAGGCTCCGTATGGGCCTCTTTCCTCCCACCATCTTCCTCCCTTGGCTATCTTCGATGGCCTCAAAGGGGAGGTTTTAAACAGCAAGATTTCCTGGGGTTGGGGGGTAATGGGACCCCTGTCTTACAGAAAATTGTGAATGCAGAGAGCATTGTTTCCAAAGGGAGTAAAAAATGAGATGGCAGTGGGGTGTCTGGGGCGGATGGGCCCCTCCCAGGCACTGGATACAAGCAGTGGTGACTGCCACCCGCCCCGGCTGTCCTCAGACACAACCTCCCCGAAGAAAAGGGGACAGCGGGTGTTCCTGAGGCCCGAGTGTCCTTCGCGGCAGGTCTGCCTGGGAGACAGGTTACTGAGGCAGGTGCCCATTGTTTTCCAGATCAGGGGCGCTCTCGGTAGCATCACGCTGCAGCCCAGGACGTGGGAGTGAGCTGGTGTTGGCAAAGACCTCCAGGGAAGAACACAGCCCGGCCCAGCATGGCTTTCGAGCCTCTTCCGGGGCACCGGGAGGCTCTCGGCACAGGAAGCGCCTGACCCTGGGCTCCGAATGCAGTAGATGTTGGGGTAGGAAAGGGAAAGAAGGGGGGGTGCGCATTCTCGCCTTCCGAGTGTCCAGTTTTGTAAGGAACTGGCATTATCCCTGAAAATACCACTTTTGGGAAACGATCATATGGAAATAAAAGCTCTCATTCGTAAAGGTGTATATAAAAGAACGTTTATTGTAATGTTGCTTGGAACGACAGGACATTAGGAACAACCTAAGTTGACATCTGTAGGACGGTAGCTTAAAAAAAGTATAGCTGATCTCTCCCAAGAGACCTCATACAGCTTCCAAAACTGCGGACTTGGAACTGCACCATCATAACCTGTGAAGAGGCCTATACTGCAGTGTTTAATGGAGAAAGTACGTCTCTGAGTGACGTCTATAACAAGATTCCATTCCAGTACCGCATCTAACAGCACAGACAGGATTTATGCCTTATATTTGCATGAACAAAAACACAGAAAAATGTTATTACCTAAAGGAGTGAAGTCTTAGAAATAAAAAAAAAATCTAGCAAAATTTACTTTTTATAAAAAAACCTCCTCTTCTGGGAAGAGAAGAAAGAGATTGGGGCGGTTACGTAGTCCAGCGGGGACAGAGGTGGAGCCGGCCACAGCCTCGTGCAGAGCCACCCCTGCTCCTTGTGCATTTCAGGGGAGAGAATGTCCCCAAAATACCGGTGCTCAGCCCTGTGCTTGGGCAGATCACAGCGTGTTTGGCCCCCACCCGATGTCGAATGGTGCATTTGCAGAGTCAAGCCTGCGAAACTCATCGGTAAAAGTAGCAAAGGCATGAGAAATTTTGGTCTCTTGATCAAGGCTGTCCCAGCCATACTTGAATGGAGGCTACCAGGCTATATTGAAGCTATAAAAACCAATCCATAAGACCTCTGATAGGATCTGAATACAGGAGTTCGTTACTGCATTAGGGTCATTTAACCAACTCTTCCTGGATTGTATCTTTTCATCTGAGTCTAGAGTCACCCACCACACGCTTAGCCCATAGCCACTGCTAAATAAAAGGTAATAGAAAAAACCTATTGCATTATGACTTGATCAGAGCAAGGAAGAAACAACATTCTGGTTATAATGGGGGTGGGAGGTAGGAAAAGCTCATTTCTTTGCAGGCATAAGTGGCACTCTTGCTGGTTCTTTGGAATATAGTTTAAGAAGCACTGGGCTCTGGGTTGGGGAGGAGCAGGACTGCAGAAGCTCTTGGGGCAGGAGAACTGCCCAGGTGTGGGGCTGCCTGGAGGCTCAGCCAGGTAGCTAGCTGCTGCAGCCTTGGCTTGGCTCCCATCTGGCACTGCTGGGTTAGCTGCCACAGGGAGGTGATGGATGATGGCTGTGGCCTGATTCTTGAGGAGACACGGACTCACTGCAGTGTGCAGTGGCCATATGTGAGCCCTGGCCACGTGTAAGGTTCCCTGGGAGGAGGAGGGGAAGGGCACATGACATGTGTTGTGCCTCTTCGCTTTCTGCAGCAACCACGTCGGAGCAAGCCAGCAGCACAGTTGACAGGTTAGAGAAGCCGCATTCTGATTCCAGGGGCTCTGGGTCTGGGAGGCAGCAGCGAGAGTGTTAGCTGGCCCCTGGATTTGAGCTAGTACAGTCTTCACCTGCTGGGGTCCCAGGGTGGGTGTGGGGAGAACCTTCGAGACTTTCCGCAGCCTTCTGGCGTGTGCAGCTCCTCCACGATGCCTATGCTCAGCTCAAGACAAATGGGAAGACAAAGAGGTACAGAGAGTTTCCCTGGGAGGGAATTAAATGTGTCGTTGGGACCACAGATCCTACCAGCTCACGGACTCCAGAAGACACCTTTTGCTTCAGTCTAACTGGACTCTGCCAGTGACGCTTTGTGACATCTCTCAACCCTGGGCAGTGTTTGCAGCCATAGCCCTTCCCAAGCGTCTCCCGCCAACCTTCGTACGCCGGCTCAACCATCAACATGACTTTGCTCGATCCCAAGGCTCCTCAGAAGCTTGGTGTTGACAGATGGATCCTTCTAGAGTGTGAGGGTTCTTGCAGTATTGGAAGGCACTTTCTGGAACTCAGAAGAGACTTCGTTCTGCAGGTCTTTATTTCCAAATATCTTTATCCAGTTGTCTTCAACCATGGCTGCCATGTTGAAAATAACCATGCTATTTTCGAGTTAGGCACTTGAAAATAACCCTGATGCCAGACCTCAATCATCTGAAACTAGAACCAGAGCCTTGGTGCTCTTAAGGCTCTCCAGCCAAGGCTGAGAATCATTATCTTGTTCCCTGGCCTTGGTTAACTTCTTGAGGACCGTGCTGTGGCGTCGGACACTCGACTCGAGATCTGACTCCTGACCCTGCCACTGAGCACTTGTGTGCGGTTTTATTCTCTCCTCTGTTCTGTGGGGATAACAGCTCCTGCCTCAAAGAACTGTTGAAAGGACTACGTGATCAGCCTTGTCATCCTGGAAGAGTCTCTGGTGTGTGAAACGTGCTCTCTAAAGTCTAAGCCATATGACTAGAACAAGGCCCTGCAAATGTTAATATTTGTGCTTGGACTGAGAGACAGGCATTGTTTTAAGCACTATGTACTTACTATTCAACACATCAAGTTGATCTAATGTGAAAAGGTGACACAAGCAACACATATCAAGACTTACTTTACTTGGTAGGATCTATTGTCCCAAACTACACATGGAGCTAGCTCACTTGCTCGTGGTCCCACATGTCTTCTTGCTCTCCATCAACATCTTACCAAAGCCCCACAAAAGTTCTGTACCTTTCCAAGCCTCTGAGATGGCTGAGCACTCATCAGTGGTCAGTCCATTTTTGGTTGCCTGCTGTGACACATAGTGCCAGGGCAAGCACTGTGACACAGCAGGTTAAGCCTCCATCTGGGACGCCGGCATCCTGTATGGGTGCCAGTTGGAGACCCGGCTGCTCCACTTCAATCCAGCTCCCTGCTAATGCACCTGGGAAAGCAGCAGAGGATGGCCCCAGTGCTTGGACCCATTCACTCACATGCAAGACCCTCAAGAAGCTCTGGGCTCCTGGTTTTGGCTTGGTCCAGCCCTGGTGGTTGCGGATATTTGGGGAGTGAACCAGCAGGTGGAAGATCTCTCTCTCTCTTTCTCTCTCTGGGTCTGCCTTTCAAATAAATAAAAAAATAAATCTTAAAAAAGAGAAACAGTACCCATGAATGAAGCAGGCATGTAAGAAATGCCCAGTGGATTCTCTTAACAGATCAACTGTTTAACCTGGTAAAAAAAACTGTGCTGATGCAGTCATGAAAGAGATGGAGGAAGATCAAATTTACATGAGTGGTGGTGATGGTGAGAAAATAATGCTGCGTGCTCGGCATTTGTCGTGTGTGATGGATTTTCACAACCATAGGAGATGGGTGTTCAGGTAGTCTGTTGCTACACCAAATCACCCAAATGTAGTCTATTAAAGAACCAGTCGTTTTGCTTGTGAATTTTAAATTAGCTGATTGCACAGCAGAGACAAGCAGCTCTCTGCACCAAAGGAGCTCAACCCGGGGCTGGAGACACGTGGCAGACAGAGATGCCTCAGTCCAGCCATCACGGAACCACGCTGGTGGCCTGGGTTCCTCACCCACAGCCCCAGGGGCCCTGTAGGTTGGAAGGGTTGGAATGGAGAATCTTGTCCTGAAAACACAGCTCTCCATCACAGCCTCCCCGCTTCTCATTCCAAGGGGAGCTGCGTCTGTGCTTGGGGAGAAGCCAAGCCAAGCAAAAGATTTCAACAGAGAATGGAGGAAACACGCCCACTGAGGCTCTCCTAGCAACATAATCACGCACAGGCAGAAGCCTATTTCGGTGGGAGCCTGCTTCAGCTCCCATCCTCCCTGGTTAGTCACAGAATGGGTGCACACGCAGCAGCAGGAGCAGCGTGGGGTGGAGGCAGAGTGGAGCCCTGGAAGTAGGGAGCCGGGGAGTGGAACTGGGGGCTGCTGGGACTTGCTGCAGGTGGTAGGGCAAGGGCCCTCCCCGCTCTCCGACCTCAGGACGTATCTGTAAAAAAAACGAGAGGATTGGGCCAGCGAGCCTCGGGGATTCTTTCTTTGCTGTTCCTCTTGGTTGTACAAAGTACTGAGGCTGTTTTAGCAAGAGTCAGATGTCTCAGAACCTGTCGTCTCCGAGAAGATGCCTGGGGAGAAAGGGGGCTGGAGAGGGTAAAAGTCCTGGAGATTCTCATTTATCCCCTCCGCCACATGCTGCTCCAAAGAGGCAGGTAGGAATGAGGAGAATGGCCTTGTCCTGGCTCACTCACCCCTACCCTGATCGAGGGCTATGGTCTGAGATGCAAAGGGTAAAGAGATTAAGGTCATTCTTTGAAATGCACCCCACCCCCTACACACACACACACACACACACACACACACACACACACACAGAGTCTGTTAACTCCAATCTCCTGCTGCATTTTCTTTTCCCCCTCCTCCTCCTCTCGGGTCTCTCAGTCTCAACTCCTCAGCTCCACTCACTGCACCCTGTTCTCTTTCTCCAGGACCGGGCAGGCAGTGGAGGCATCTCTGGTGCCAAGCACGAGTCTGGCCCTTTTCTTGAATGGACTCTGGGGTCAGTTGAGGACAGCCAGGCTCCCACTTCCTGGCTGTCAAAGGTGATGATACAAGCAAATAGGGCACTGGGGACCCATCTCCCCAAACGAGGCCAGAGATGAGGCGGGCAGAGCCAGGATGCGCAGCGAGCACCCTCTGGACCCCTGCCCTTGACCCGTGGGCTGAGCGCCTGGCAGTGCAGCTGTCTTCGGAGGACTCAGCCCCGAGTGTCCTGTGGCAGCGGAAGAGGCAGAGCGGCCCCTCCCCCCTTGTCCTGTCTCCCACTGGCTGACAGATGGCCGGTAAGACACAGAAAACCGAGCTCTCAAAGTGAAGGCAGGAATGCATTGTATAAAAATTCACACCCCCTGCTGCCGCCCAAACTCCCTTAAAAAGGGATCAAGAGAATCCTAATGGGTACGTGACATCCTCCCTCTCTCCCATAAAAGGGACTTCAAAATCTGGTGACGGTGGGGGAAGGGTGAGGAGGAAGAAGAGTGACGCGTGGGCAGGGGGCTGCCAGCGAAGACAGGGGTAGGGGGAGCCAGACCGCAGGCCCATGGACTTTCCCTCACCCCACCCTCCCCACCTCCCAAGCCACTTCTGGCTTCCACCTTCACCGCACCCCCTGAGCCTCCGAGGGGCTGGGAGCCCCAGGCGCCGCGGACTGGGAGAGTGGTAGGAAACAGAGAGGACAGCCCCTCTCAGTCCCGGAGTCGAGGGCGTTCAGGACCCTCCCCCATCAGGCCCCCTCCCCCACCCACACCTCCGGCAGCCCTGGTTTCCCGATCAGTAATCCGTCCAGGAACAGGCGGAGACGAGCGAGGGCTGGAGGCGGGGCGGGGCGGGGGCGAAGTGACCGCGGCCGGGGCTCGGCCAGCGCCGGCCCTGGGAGGGAGGACTCGCCGCGGTCCAGGAGCCTGCGGGAGCCCTGCCCTACTCCCTCCGAGCCGCGGTCGCGCAGCCCTGGCCCCCGCGCAACTTGTGCGCAGCGCGGGCAGTGGAGGCGGCCAAGAGCCCCCCGGAGCCGGGAGCGGGGCGGGGCGGACCCGGGGGCGCCGGGGGCCTTCGGTCTGCGCCCGGCCGCCGCCCGCTCCACCCAACCTCCCAGCCCGCCCCCACTCACCCGGCGCAGCCCCCGGGAAGGACGCGCAGGCAGCGTGTTGCTTCGCCCCGCGCCTCGGCAGAAGTTGACACGAGTTGGCCGCCGCCTCGGGCCGGCCGGACTTCGCGAACAGCCGGGAGAGGAGGCGCCGCCGCCGCCGCCGCCGCGCAGCCCTCGGGGCTGCCTCCCGCCTGCCCGGCCCGCAGCGCGGGTGGAGAGGGGCGGGGAGGGGGTCGCGGTGCGCGAGAAGTACTGGAAACTGTGCGAAGGAATCCGAAGCAGATGAGAAGGGAGGGAAATAAAGTGGAGCCTGCAGGACGGCCTCGCCCGCGGCGGATCGGAGCTGCCGGCGCCCGCACCGGGGCTCGGCGGGGTCGTCTCCCTCCTCGCTCGCTCGCCCTCTCGCCCCCCCACCCCCAGGCTCTCTCTTTTAAAGCGACACCAGCTCTATCCCTTTCTCTGCTATCTCTGTATCACCAAACCCTGGCCGGCTCTTATGGGCATGAAACACTCCTCCCGTTGTCTGCTCCTAAGGAGGAAGATGGCGGAGAACGCCGCCGAGAACCCCGAGGTAAGCGGGCGCGAGCGCGGGCCTAGGCGACCCCGCCGCCCACCCGGACCCCGCCGCCCACCCGCACCCCGCGCCGCCGCCGCCGCCGCCGCGCTGCACCTGGTGCCAAACTTTCCCGGCTGCACCCCGCTTGCCGCTGCCGGCCGTTCGTGTCTGTGTGTGTGTGTGTGTGTGTGTGTGTGTGTGTTGTCTGTGTTGGGGGGGCAGTGCATGTCTCAGGTCCCCTCCCTCTTGAAAATGCAAAAGAGTCGCTCTCACCCCGTCACCCCCTCCTGCCACCACTGCTCCTGTCCCCTTCCCCCAAGTTCCAAACCCAGGGCAGCCGCGTTCCCCTGCCCTCTCCTCTGGGCTCCGCTAGGGCTCCCGGGTCCCGGCTTCGCGTAGAGCTAGGGCGGGTGACCCCGGGGCCAGGGACGCTGCCCCCCGGGCGCCCTGACCATCTCCTGCCACTGCCTGGAGCTCGACCCTTCAAGCTCCTGTCATCACCCGAGCTCTCGGTCCCTGCAGCACCGCGGAGAGCTCCGGGCTGCGGGGGCCGGGGCGCTGCTAGGATTTGGCCACCTTCCCCAGACCCCTCCAGCCCCGGAGAGGACCGGAGAGAGGTCTGCTATCCCAGCCTGTCGGAGCCTCCTCGGGGTTGCTCCTCCCGGGGAGGGCGCGCCGGCCTCGGCCACCGTCAGCACCAGGGACAGCGCCCGCTCCTGCCGCAGCGGAGCCTGAGCGGGCGGTGGGGGCTGCGCGCCGCCGGCTGCAGCGAGCGGTGGGGTCCGCAGCCGCCTTGTCCCGCCGCATCCTTGGCCAGGGTCGCTCTGGCTCCGCTGAGTGTTCTCTGGGCCCCCCGCCTTCGACCACCCAGTAGCTACCCTGCCTCTGCTCTCGAGTCAGCCCTGGGCCGCAGAAAGCCCTGCTGGGCATTGCGTCTGCCCGGAGTGTCCCCTGGCCTCGCTCTGACCCCGTTGTCATTACCAAAAAAAAAAAGACTCTTCTGTGGGCTCTGGGCACCTGTAGTCACGAAGGGGATCCGCGTGGGCAGCCCCCTTACCTTCCCGGAGAAACGGTGCGCCCAGGCGGGGGCGGGGTGGGCTATGTGTGTGCCCACCACCCCTGACTCGGTGGCAGGAAAAAGACACAGAGCAAACCTCGGGGCTCTATTAATAGCTAGGTGTCTGGCGGGGCTGCCGCACATCTCACATATGGTTACCCATATGCAGCGTGGGGGCGGGGATGGGGGTGTGGCGCGGGGATCGTCCCTTCTGTCTCGCCTGAATGCAAAAGGTGCAGAGACCCTGCCCGGTCTTCTTTCTTTCAGCTCTTAACTCTGCAGCTAACCCCTACCCCACAACGTAAGCAGAAAAGCCTTAACAATCCCCCATTCTCTGAGCGGCCACAAGCAGCATGCATCTAGCAACTGTCGCTTGCCAAACACGCCTGGGGCTTAGAAGCGTGGGGGCATCCAGTGGCTAACGCCTCCCCTGTGGGTTACGGCCAAGCCAGGGTGCTCGCGGTCTCCCGGACGCTTCCCCACCCCCACGAGATAGCAGACACCCAGCACGGTGTGTATCGGGTGCAAGGCTCCCGGTCTCAGAGCAGAGCCAGTCTTGCAGGCCCCGCCCCCTTACCCTCCCCTCCCCCCCTTGACCACTTGCCCGGGAACTTTCTAAAAATAGCTCAGAGGCTCAAGGCCGCGTGTCTGCGAAGCGTGGAGCTAGGCGGCACGTAGCACTCCCTGCAGCCAGGTGGCTGGAGCGCTGAGAGCCAGAAGGCGCTACCCTCCCCCCCTCCCCGCCTCTTCACCGCACCCCACGCCACGCGTGACTGATTGTCTAACGAAAGTTTTGGCGAGTGCCTAAGCTCGGTCAGCCCAGTGATGGGTTTGGGTGCAGACCCGTGCCAGGTTCCGCAGCAGCGGCGGCGGCGGCTGCGCTCCGCACCTCGGCGAGGGTTAGAGGCGATCAGAGCAGGCAGAGCTACGCGCGCCAGGCTATTTTTACTTGCTTCCCCCGCCGCTCCGCGCTCCCGCTTCTCAGCAGTCGCACTTGCCAGCTTTGCTCAAGGCATCAATGAAAACAGCAGTGGAGGCCGCCGAGAAAAAAAAAATCACTCCGCGTGCAGGAGACGGGGCGGGGGGAGGGTGCAGGAGGGTGCGGCGAGAAACAGACCCATCTGGGACTCTTGGGAGGGGAGTGAGTCGGGGTGGGTGCGAGGTTCAGTTCCTAGCAACCTCCGGGGGAAAAAGGGGGCAACCGAGACTCGGTCAAACGTGCGGGGCGGAGGTATCCAGGCAGCGTGACTATCTCTCTTGGTTTTTCCTCCAGGAACTGGCTGTTTTTGGAATAAGCCAGGACTGGAGCGGTACTTCCAAAAGTGGGGTGCTGTGGGTTTGCCTGCCCTTATGGCGAGGGAGAGGAGGCCAGGGCACCTCTGTATGTGTGTGGGGCCCTTGTTCTTAATTCAACCCGTGTGGATCCAGCACTGGGCACCAGGAATAGCTACCCAGGAGCCATAGGTGTCCTGATACGATGGACAGCCCCTTAGCACCTCTTCTGGCCTTTTGTTGCTGTTTTTGTTTTCTTTGCAAGCTCTTAATCTCATTTCCTCCTCCCAGTAGCCGTGTGAGATAAGGGAAGGCTGGTATTGGTTTCTCATCCCCATTTCATGGTGGAGGACATGGAGAGGCCGAGTGAGCTCCGGCGATTTCTGAAAGTCATCAGCTGGGTTGGGTATGTTACCCACACTGCCCCTACTTGTGATTCATTGGTCTTTGTCCAACCCTTGCTACTTCTCCCACATGTGAATGGGAGTAGATGAGGAGTGGGAGGGGAGGGATCCTTTGGAAGGAGAGAGGCCACGAGAGGGCAGGGAAGGTGTTCTTTCAGGAGGTGGGTGGAGGGTGCAGATACACCAGCCATTGGCAGGTAGGAGGAAGTGAGGGATAGAAGCCACTTACATTGTGATGATAGCCTTCCTCCCCAGAGGAGCAGCTAGGACACACGGGCCTCCAGGGCACACGGCTGGTGGGTGCGGTTGGCACTGGGTGGCCCTGGTGCTGACGTCAGGTCCATTCTCTCTATGGTTCAGGGTCAGCGTGGGATGTCTGGAGATGCCAGGTCAGCCCCTGGCACACGGTGAACAGGAAGCAGTGTTCGCTCTGCCTACACTCTCTCTGACTCCCTCAGGGGTGCTCCACCGCCAGCCCAGGTCCGCCACCTCCCCTGCTCCCAGAGGTGTTGGTCAGCTTTTCAGCATTGTCACAAACACCGCGAAGAAGCTAGTCACGCAGGAGGGAGTTTTGCTTCGGCTCATAGTTTTGGAGGTCCACGGCCCTGCTGGTTGGGTGTATGGTGAGGCTGAATGGTGGCTGTGGTGGAGTGTGTGTGTGTGTGTGTATAGGAAACAGAGAGAGAGGAGCTAGGTGGAGCTTGGCTTTGGAAGGCAACCCTCTCCCAAGAACTACCCTTCTGGGGACATGCCTCCAATGACCTAAGCCTTCCATAGACCCACCTCCTAGACACCACAATTGGATCCGCCCAGCGCTGTCAATAACTGACCTTGGGGTTCAAGTGCGTGAGGCCAGAACCACATCCTCCCCAATCCAAAGCGCCAGGCATCCAGAAAAGCTTTCTGCAAGGACTGTAATGCCCCTAGCCCCACCCTCCTCCTCAGGGCCCCAAGGCTTCGGGTTTTAGGTCTTCCCCTCGGCCCCCGCTGAGGCTCCAGCCCCCGTTCCAGGGCTCTCTTCTCACATCCAGCCTCGCCATCACTACATGCTTGGCTTGGCTTTTGGAAACATAAACCAGCTGCTGACCAGACATCTCTTTTAAGAACTTGCGATGTTGCCCCATTGCCTACAAGATACAGGATAAAGCCCAGCTGCCTTGGCATAAGGCCCTTTGTAGCCACCCTGTGTGATTCTCTGAGAAGACTCTGGCTTCCCACCTGCAGGCATTTCTGCACGCGCCTCCCTCCTCCTACCTTGCTGCTCTTTTCTTCTCAGTGTTTCAGGAAAGGAGCTTCCCCCACCCATAAGACCCAGGGAAAGAAATGTCACCTCCTCTGGGCAGCCTTCCCAGATCTGCCTTTTACCTTCTTTCTCCAGGGAGAGTGATTGCTCCTTCTTACTCATTCCTAAAGCCTGACTTTCCCTGTTGTGAGATAATTGGCTCTTTGTCTGTTTCTCCAGCTGGTAATGAACTTTTTTTTTTTTTAAATTTAAGTATACCCTGTTGTTACACTGCATCTGACACGCAGTAAGTAATAACTGTTGACTGAATTGATTCATGTGATTCTGAACATAGTCTTTAGTATCCTGGGTGTTAGCCACTCGGGACTTTCTGAGAATCGGGGTGCCTGTCTCCCGCTCCTCTGCTGTACCTGTGCTATTGTGGACTGTTAAAACGCAAAATGTGTGATGCTTCTGAGAATGGAGGTGCTGTGGCCTCTCAAAGCACAGGCACATCTTGGTTATTCACCACAGTATTCAATATTCAACATTCGGGGACCACGGGATTCCTACTATGGGGTGTTCAACTGAATAGCAGATCAGTTGAATCACAATCAGTTAATCACAATGCCCACTTAGGAGCCTTGGAGGGGGGGTGATGGCTCCCTGACTGTGCCTTTTTGCCAATGGATTCTGTGAAAGCCTGGTGCATTATTTATGGTGATGACTCCCTGATTAGGGTTTTATCACCTCAAAGGAGTGCCCCCAGGAGTCGAGAAACCAGTTTTCTCAAAGAGTCATTTTGGAAACTGTTTCTGGATTGTTCTGTTGACCTGCTGGCTAGAGAGAGAGAGAGAAGAATTATGGATTGGGGGAAATGCTACAATAGGGCAGTGGGGTTAGGGGTAGGTACCCAATTAATGCGGTTTGAGTCCTGGGGCAGAGGAAGCGGACTTGTGGAATGCTGTGTCTTGGTTGTTTTGTCTAATGGATGTTACTTTCAGCATAGTCCTGTTACACGAAGGGCAGGGGACCTCGGAGGGGTAGGCAGGGCCCAGGT